TACACATATTATGACTAAAGACATTTTCAGTCACGAACTCTGGCAAATGTCCAGAACATTGGGTCTTTGCCTTTCACATATGAAGAATCCAGCAGGATATTGTCACAGGAAAATGTTCAGAACATTCAAATGAGGGGTGTTGGTAGAGCATGCCAGAGGCAGGATATCATTTCTAAATTCCGCCAAAGAAATCACATATTTAGGTTTAAATCACATCGACACCAGCGTCAGGTTTCATCAACAAAACTCTCAAATTTCTATGTCTTGACATTGTAAACTTTTATCTTCCATGTCCTGAGGTATTCTCCATCTCCACACCCACTCACTATGAATTTTATGACATTTTCCTGCTGTGTTCTTACATCCGCTCTCTCTGATATTTTGCCAATATTGGCAGGAAAAGTTCCCAAAATTGTCTGGAGATTTGCGTTCTCACATACAATCCCTTCGGAATAATTTCAGGCATGTCCGAAGGCAGCTTTATTTACCAGATTCAGGAGGTAGATCAGTTTCTTCTGGCGTCTCTGGGTCGAGGGAGGGTTGTGATGTGGCTGGAGACGATGAGGATGGTGGAGGAGAAAGCTCATCCTGAGATGGACTCGGTTCGGGCTCTGAAGGAGCCTCGGTGGGCCCCACAGGAGACGAGGCTGAGGTAACATTTTCTTGTGGGGTACTGCCATCGAGGAGTTCCATCATCCCTGATGCCTGCTGTGTACACAGCAAAACAAGACTGTACATCAAATTGGTAGTTTCCAGAAATATGCAAATGGAGTGAATAAACTTGGGGATTTATATTCATGGAGAAGGCCAACGGAGGTGGACAGGCTTATATATGATATTTGTGTCCTTAGGAAACAGGTTGCAAAACAGACTGTGATTGTGCTGTAAACACTGCACAGCTAACAGTTCAGGGACAAAATAAACACAATGAAAGATGTTGAAAAGAAGTGATTCCATTAGCTTTAAAAGGAAACTAAAAGAAACATGAACTTACCATTTTGGAAGATTCTGAGGTGTGTTTTTTTGATTTCTTTTTTGGAGCAAATATATGTTCATATTCCTCAGTTGACTCCAGGAGCCTTTTAGTTGGTTTCCGGAGACGTTTGTTCTCTGAATTCCCTGCGTAAACATACATGACATACATGTCACCCTGCTGTTCAGTTTTCCTTCTCAGCAGGACGAACCAAACAGCAGCAGTTTGTGTCTTACCGTCTGTGCTGCTCATCTCCAGGAAGAGCGAGTCGTTCTCCAGCCCCTCGATTTCCAGATCAAGATCTGGTGATGCCCTTGTGGTGTAAGACCCGTTTATCTCAGCAGACGCCTCGCTCATCACCTCTCCCTTACTATCAGCAGCCCCCTCAACCACCTGCCAGCGCTTCTTTGGAGCCAGGGTGGATTCTGACATCTTGACGAGGTAGCTGGCCGATGCATCAGCAGTGGCAGGGGGACGAGATCCGGGATCGGCTAAGTCGGCGTGGCCGCTGACAAACTCCCTGCCATAAGCCAAGTCAGCCAGGTCTGAAGAAAGGCCCGCTACGCTGGATTTCAATTTGGCAGGTAGTCTTTGTTTCCTACGCTGCTTGTCTAAGCTGCCGATCTGCGAGCGAAAAGAAAAGTCTTCACAGTGGTAGGTGTCAGCCATCATGATAGCTTTAGTCCTGTTCTTGGTTTTCGTCGCTGTGTTGTGGGGGGTTTTGTTTTTACCAAACAGGCCATTCTCTGTTTTGATCCTCTGAGTGAAACCATCACAAGAACCCCGCCGCAGGTCACCTCCTGAGGCAGCAGGGATGACCAAGGGCTCCTCCTTGATCAGGACCGCTGATGGCGGGACAGTGAGGGGTTTACCCTCTTTTTGTCTTGTGTCGTGCATGTCTTTCAGCAGCATCAGGAAGGTACTGAATTTATAATTGGAATCAGGCCGAAACACAGTGAGCTCACAGTCGCTGCTGTTGTTCTTCTCGAGAGATTTGAACATTAGTTCCTTGACGTCCTGAAAGGCATCCATTGGAGTAAGAGTCAAGGGCGGGGAAGAAGAAGATAAATCCAGGACAACATTTTCTTTCTTGACTTCGACAGGATGCATGGTGGATACACCTGAGTCTGCACACTTGGACTTTATCAATGAGCCATTACGAATTAGTTTCTTATCAGGCTTCCTTGCACGTCTTTTTTGAGAGGGGTGATCAGTAGAGGACGATGCATTGTTAGGGTATTTCCTGGTAGGAGAGGTTTCAGTTGTGATGGGTGCATTATTATTAGGATAATTGTCATTGTAGGCATCTGTTGAGATTTGGCTTGTAGCCAGTGCATCTTTGAGATCTGTCTCTTCCTCTGCTTTCAGAGCCCTCGTCATAAGACGACTGCTGGCAGGAAGATTCGTAGAGTGCTTTTCAGCTGAACAGTACAACAGCTCATTACAGCTTCCCAAACTTTGCTCAGAGTTTGTATCTTTAGGCGTCAATTTCTTTGTTAAAATGCTATCAAGGGAATCTGTACATTGTTTGGATTTTTTAGTAAACTTTGTTTTAACTTTTGTTGAACCCGCTTCTTTTCTGTCCTGTACTGGAGACACTGCTGTGCGTTTAGGACGATGCAGCATTGGAACCGAATCCAGGTCAGCATAAGGGGAGTCCTTTGGCTCTTCTTTCAGTGCACAAGTTGTTGTATGAAACTGGTCCAACATGTTTGTGACAGCAGATGATTCCGTTGATCCTCCAACAATATGCCCAAATATGTCTGACAGACATTTCTTTTTCTTCTTGCAAACTTTGCTCTTGTTGGACTGAAGGCCAGAGTTTTTTATGAGATGGTTCTCACTTTCACTGGGGGGCTTATTTGGTGGTGGAATTAGGCTGGGGTCCACAGAGGGAGAGGGGGCCTCCTGTGGCTTTTCAGTAGGTTGCGGGCTGGGTACACGCTCCTCTCCATTCAAGGACACTGAAAGCACACTTTCAGTATTCCTTTGTCGAGCCGGGAGCAGATACTCAGCTTCTGCCACACTGACTTTCCACGCAGTCAGTAAACTTCTGGGAATCTGTCAAGAACAGAAATATAATTTAAAATGGTGCTCACAGCAGGTTTAGATGAGATTTATAGTTCATCATTGTATTTACCGTGTACTTATAGTCTTTTTCCTTCTGCTTCCCTCTCCGTCGAAGCACAGGCAACTCTTCAAACTGATGACCTCCCTCAAAAGGAGCGATGGCGTTCGTCGGGACCCAGGCACATTCGACAATCTCTCCAATTGTCTCCAGGAAATACATCCGACAAGGACGGGGATTGGGAACTGGAACTAAGTAAATTAATTATATAATTCCTTCAATTGTTATCGAGCTGTCAGGTAAAGGTCAAGTTGTGGGAAATATTTGATCATAAAATCCACATGTAAATCAAACCTCACCTTTCATCTTAGTGTGGTTCCCCTGGTCTGGATCACAGGTAACTTGGCATGGCCACCAGGGCCGTCTGTTGAACTTTGCCCACACCAAGTCTCCTTCCAAGTACTTCACTGTAGGAAGAGGCTTCTTCTTTGGGCTGTTGGACTAACAAGGACAATAACAATACTTTAATATTTGGATTTACAAAACTGCTTGCTCCCTCTGTATATATTTTTGAAACATCAATAAAAAAATATATATAATATGATGTACTGTTACAGGTCTGCAGACAGAATACATTATTACCATGTTGACGGACATGCAATCCTACTTCCTCCATGGAAATAGGTAACATAAATAAACTGTATTAAGTATGCACGTCAGATGTTTTACACTCACGTTAGAGTTGGTGCCGGCTGGTGAAATAAGTCCAGGGTCAACAGGGGAGGCAAGTTCACTGTCTGATTCCTCACCCAAACTCCACCCATCTCTCATACTGATTTCTGGCAGTGCACTGGGGCTCAGTGTAGGGTTGAGTTCAGAAATAGTTTTGGACATCAGATTAAAAACAGTAGGTTTGTATGTTCTTCTGTCTACCCCTGTGTCACATGGGGTCTTACTGTCAGAAACAGATCTGTCCTGACTCAACTTTTGGGAGAGGTGAAGAGGCTCCAGGTCCTCACTGCTGCTGTGCTCCTCCTCCTCATCCTCCACCTTAACGTCACTACTGTCAAAGAGCGTGGACTCAAAATGCAGGTAGCCATTGGGGATGGGAGAACAGCGCTCCAGGCTGTCAGGACTTTGCGGCGAGAAGCCGTTTCTGTTCACGTCCTGCAGCGTGTCAAAAGCCTCCATATCATCATCATTGCCTGGGGAATTAGGCATCCGGACTGATGGGGCCTCAAACTCATCATCATCATCATCATCTTCACTGATTGGGCTTGCACAGTGCAAGTGGTTCCTTGGATGCAGGTCACTCTGGGGGTCTGGCCTGTTGACCACAGAGCCCAGGTCCTGCAGCCTCCTCAGCGGGCTGTAGCAGTGAGTTCGGTCCGGCTGATTGTACCCCTGTCTGAGACTGGAGGATGGCAGCTGCACAGCTGACGGTTGGTCTGACACACGCTTCACAATGCCACGTTGGTTTCCATAGGAAGAGCTCACCAGGCCATTGCGGGGCCTCAGCTCTGGCTGGCCTGAACCAAACACTGAGCCCCTAACAGCCTGTCTGTATGGCTGATTCATGTTGTCATGGTTATATCCTGTCAAACAAAAAGAGGCAAGTTAGACAAGGTTAAGTTTCTCAATAACTGAAACCTCTGTGGGATATTACAGTACAACATAACAAAGCATGTTGACAATCACACAAACATACCGCAGGATATGTGGCAATGATAGAAACCTAGAAGGGGCATATCAGGATGGGGGCTGCGCGTACACACAGTGATTCGCAGACATTGCATGGCCTCCATACTTGAGGCCGGTCGGGTGGGAAAAGACAAAACAGAGAACCGCTGGCCCTTCTCCTTCCTCACGTCTCATTCACCAACTCTCAGAAAATACAAGCCGCTTTGTCTGCTGCCTGTGGGTCATGGCGATCGCTGCCTGCTCCGGTGAATGGAGGAGCGCTGGGTGCTGACACACTCAGCCACCACTGAGACACACAAACAAGCTACAACCGCACAAAAAGAAGGAGCCGATCGCCACTAAGTTCACAACACGTGGAGGAGAAGGGGCGAAAACACTCACCATTTGGAGGTCGGTCACCGGGAAACCAACAATGGCTGTTTGGTGGTGTGGCACGGAGCGGGGCGAGGGGCTTTTCTCGGCGTGTGAGAGCGGATCTGCACAATCGCAGCTGCGGTGGCGGCGGCACTAGCAGGCCGAGGCAGGGCTCTCATTCTCTGCACCTCATCGCCTCATCAGCGGCGGCGGCGGCGGCCCTCTGCAAACACTGTCACTGCAAACACCAAACAACACGCAGATCTCCATTACGCTGCCACACTAACACAGCGGTGCCACAGCCCGGTCCCCTAAGCAGCCACATCGGTTTATTTACTACATCTTTTCCTCAGGTTTTTTTTAAAAAGCCTGCTGTCGAAGTGCCCTCGGTTAATGTTAAAACAAGCCCAGACTGACTGTGTTGTGCGGCTCAACCAATCGGCTCTGCTCCCAACCCCCCAGTCTGCAGAGGGCCGTGACACTCAGCCTCCGAGCACGCGCGCTCACACACACACACACACACACACACACACACAGACATCAACACGCGCGCGCGCGCGCTCAACCAGGTGAAGTTTCAAACAGTCGCTTGGTGTATAAATACTATTTATGACTAAGATCACAAATGAATGGATGGCCTTATTTTGATAACCCCCCCTCTCTCAGTGTCAGC